CTGCTCCTGGTGCAGGCCAGGCTGCCACTGCCACCTCAGCCCCTCCTCCAGAGCCCTGGGATGCAGCCATCCGGCCCATAGACTCGTATTAATTCAGTCTCACGAGGACAAGGTGGCTGCGGCCAGCTGGGGCTCCTGATGTCACCCACCCATGTGCCCACAGCACCCATCGCAGCTGTGGGATGGAGGGCTGCACTGCGGGTGCAGCACTGAGCACACATCCAGGGAAGGGCAGATAGACAGAAGGGGACAGATGGACTCTTATCTCGGGCCGTGCTGGGATAGGAGGAGGGGAAAACGGCTCCAACTGGAAGGAAGCGGTGCTGGGATCGGGTGTGAGGATGAGGTGCTTTATAATGGGGACGGGCCAAACACAGCGCCCACTGCGGGAGGGGACAGAGCAGCCCCTCTCTGCTCCCAGCCCCCAGCTTTGAGGACAGAGACAAGGATAAAGGATAAGGGGCAGCTCACCCCAACGCGACCCCCCCACTGCGCCTTTCCATCCTGCACCCCCCCCCAACCCCACAATGCGTTCCTCATCAGCCCCAACCCAAAGGGAGCATCCATGGGTTGGGGATTCCGCCCCCCCCCCCCCACTCAGCACCCCAAGGGGTCACCACAGCCTCCCCTGCTCCCCACCCAGCCCGCTCTCAGTCGCTGCCCCCCAGCACACACACACAGCAGGCAGGGTTTCCACACACAGTTCTTTTTCTATGTAAGATGGGGGGGACACAGCAGAATGAGCGCTGCGGTGGCTCAGCTTTTGAAGACCAGACGGTTGCCGAGGGGTTGGTCTCAACAGGACCCCCCGGGGCTGTCAGGGGGGCTCTCAGTGGGGCAGCTCGTGTGGGATGAGTTTATAGTGAGCGCCACAGGAGGGGCAGCGCTGCGCCTCCCCTTTGTGCAGCCAGAACCAGATGACGCAGCTGTTGTCCTCTTCACCTGGGGAAAGAGCACAGAGGGTGGGGGGGGGAAGCGTGGGGAGAAGGGGGGGCGTGGGGAGGGATCGCGGGGACACTCACAGACGCAGCCCACGATGCGTTTATCGGTGATGGAAGGCACGAGGTTGGGGTCCTCCTTGGTGCCCGCGTAGCGCTTCGGCCGGAACATGCTGTAGGGGTCCTGGGGGGGAGAGAAAAGGGGGTCTGGGGTCAGCGGGATCCCCATCCCCGGCAACGGCGTTGCCGTCCCGCCCCCACGCCCAGCACCTCGCACTCACCAGGCCTTTGTTCATGGCCTCCAGCACCTTCCGCTCCAGCCCCGTCGCCTGCTCCTCATCCGTGGCGAGGTCGCCTGAGGGACGAGCGGCGGTCAGAGCGGCGACCCAAACCCGGGCCTCGACTCAGACCCGGACCCGGACCCGGATCCCGCCCTTCCTCCCGTCCTCACCAGGCGCGGCGAAGCTCCTCACGGGCGCAGCCCGGCCGGTGGCGGCGGGCAGAAGCCGCAGCGCCGCGCCCACCCGCAGTAACCTTGAGGCCATGGCTGCAGCGGCGGCACTCAGCGCTTCCGGCGGCGGCGGAAGTGGAAGTGGAGGAGCGGAAGGGCGGGGCGTCGAGGGGGGAGGGGGGCG